CACCATGCACTGCAGTCGCTTTTGTTTTTGTTTTGTTTTTCACCAATGTCAGTGTTTTCCAAAAGGGGTTTTTCCTCACTGTCGTCGTTGTAAAAATGTGGGTCAGACTAGGTCAGAAGCTGTTTCTGTTGTGGCCAGAGCCGTTGGACAGATTGTATATGATATCGCTTTGTACAAATAAACTTTCATGACTTCTCCAGGGCTGCTACATCATAGCTACAAGGCCATGTGTGGGTTGGAACCAAAGTAGTTTCCTCTCCTCTCTACGTCCTCATCCCATCATTTTACTTTGCTATTATTTGTAACTTTTGCCGCTTTACCCAAGAGGTCATCTGGCATTTACCATCAGGTTTTAATCACTTTGTTGAAGAGGGAGAACACACAAAATGGCTTTTACCATAATAGAATTTCAGGGGCCTTAATGTCTGCCAGCTGTGCATGCTGTTTTGTCCACAGTATTGACAGAAAAGTTGACGGACCACAGACCTAGCCTTGTGGAACCCCTTTAGAATGGAAGGAAGGGGAAATGCTACTTCTTGGTGGATTTAAATTTTCTTTTCTACAATAACTGGGATGGTCACTTCTGTTTGGTGGGCTCCTTAGCCAGGGGTCATTTTGAAAGAAATAGCCAAGTATTTGTGAAAAACACATGTCAACAGCCTTGAGTGTTTTACTTATAATTTGTCCTGTCATTCTTTGTTGTTGTTGTTGTTGTTGTTGAAGTAGATTTTGTATGGCTATTTGGTCAGCTGAAGTTGTTTTTGATGGATATTTGTAAAATAAATAGATGGCTTTGGTTGACGCTGTAATTGAACAGCATGTGCAAAGTAGTTATTCCATACAACCTGGGTAGGCAGGCAGTAGCTGCTGACTACCTTTAATAAAACATAAGAAAGGGAAATGATCAGTAAAACCCACAGGATGATCAGTGACTTTCCCTTCCCTGATACATGTCAGTGCTGGATTGGGTGTAAATGTAACTGGAAAATAAAAATCTAAATGCTTCATACATGTGGAGCTGGTGTGATGTCCCTCCGATGATGAATGCAAAAATTAGGGCAGACAACCAAAAGTACTTTTAAGTAATACCATTGATGTGATAGCACAGTATGGTTTCCAAACACACTTTGAGATGCATCTATGTATGTTTGAGAACATGTATGCATATAAAATGGAATGGGAGACTATTAGGCATCACTGTTAGATTTGAAGAATCTTTTAATTGCATAATGTGTTTACCCCTATACAGTAGTTATGTGCATTCCTTCTGCAACTAATCCCTGTTATTGCACCACATTTAATGTGTTTCTGCTGTATGACTGTTAAAAGGGTTTAGCCAGTGTTGTCCTGCTGTCTCCCTAAATAGATAATGATGGTATAAGCCACTGAAGAGCCACGGGGCTCAACATTTGTCTTTTGTTTAGTCTCCCTGGGCCTCAGAAGTGCTCCGCTCACAAAGTAATGGGTATATATGACACACGGACACATGCTCAGCTCACGCCTCCTGTGGCCCTCTCTATAAATAAGTGGACATGTTAAGAGGCAGATTTAAGGCGAACTTCTTTCGTAATTGAAATGACTATGGAGCTTTGTGGCGCTTGTTTAGATTGTAAAAGTTGAAGGCACTTAATGATTAATTTATTACCTAAAACAAAACAAATAGCAAAGCAGTGGGAGCTCTATTATACATTTATTTATTTATTTAATGTATGCATATGTATTGCATTGTTTATTTATTTAGTAATTTTGTATTTACATTTTTTACATTAAACATGCCCTCCTTGGATGAGAGGCTGGTGCACCCACCTCACAGTCAGAATGTCTTGGTTTCAGTTCAGGCTATGGTTTGGGTCTTTACATGCAGCGTTTGCATGTTATTCTCATGTCTGGGTGGGTGTCCTCCAATTTCTCAGATTCCCCATATTAACCTAAAAATGAGATTCAGTGGCTTGCCATCCAAATTCGTAATACTGACCAAACTTAGTTAAAGATCTGGAGATGGGTCTCTGCTGGTTGCCCATGAATAGAAGGATGTGTCAAATGCTGAGGACAAATAAACCAGTGTAGCTTAACCTTCAGGCTGATCTTGTTATATTTGGTGTCTAATGTAAACGTCTGTAGGAATGTATTTTGTTCTGAATTTGACTGGATTTTGGCGCCGCTGTTTTATTAGCTTTATAGTCTTGTGTTTTGTTGAGCATACTGTGGTGTTGTGCTCCAACAGAACACTGTAAGGTCGAGGTTTTTTTTGTCTGATTATAAAACCATTCACTACCATCACCATTCCTCCGTGGAGCTCATTCCAAAACCGTAAAAGATCAGAGCGCTCTCTCGTGCTGCTGCTGCTGACTGCCTCAAGTGTGTCTCCTCTTAGTCTTGGTAAAACAGCAGCAGTCTGGCATCCACTGGGCATTCTTTTGGTGTTGTTCAATAAAGGTCAGGGCCATCTTGGGTTATATCGGGTGAGTTCCATCAATGCGCATATAAATGACTTTCTATGTCTATTAAAATTACACTGTTTGATCTGATTGTCGATTTGAAAAGTTTGTGAATTGGTAACTTTGTATTGATTCACACTGATAAACTGTTTGATTTTTTATTAAATATTCTGAAATTCTGTTGCTATTTTAAATAAATTTAATTCATTTTTCATCATGTTCTGGAATGCATGGGATTCTTCTTTTGTTTTGCAGTTTAAATGTTAATGCTATGAATGTGTTTAAAAGGTGTGCGCTGAACAAAACACTCATCAAAACATTCATCACAGTTACCACACCTTTTTAGTCAGATAAAAGCCGTAGTAGTAGCAAAAACTATGGTATAACATTGGCAGGAAACTTGACAGCAATAATAACCTAATAAACTAATAATGTGAAACAAAAACAAAGCAATAAACACTGACATTGTCCTTCCTGTCAATTGAATCTGTGCCTTTCACTTTGTGTCTTTATATTATTTTTTGAAAAGATTTCTGATAATACAAGAATGTAGTTTTGTCTGCTCTGTTGTAAACTGACTGCTTTATTGTTTAATATTAGATTGCAATTTATTGGCACGTGCAAATAATTTGTGCTAATTTCTTGTTTTTCTTAATATCCCATCACTATTACTTTTATACAATCACATCATACGGCATGTCTCAGCAACAGTGTCAAGGTCGATGCAGACTTGTCTCATCAGGATTGCCCATACTGAAGGTAAATACAGTGTGTGGGTGGCCTGCAAAACCGTGATGGCGTGAGATTTTAATAGTAAACAACAGCGTAATAGCATTATTGGAGGAGGAGAAAATATGAGGGAAACTCTCCGAAAGAGCTGTGCTTTAGTGGTGCAAAAATGTGTTTAAGAAGCCTCCTCTACACAGAGTGCCTTCTGTGAAAAGGTCAAATCATTCATTTGTGTACTTCTTTTTTCCTCTCCTCTGCAACCTTTATTCACCATTCCCCTGTGCCCCAGCAGCCAGACTTACTCCCTGTGTTTATATCTTGGCCCATGTATCATAAGCTAAAACGAAGCTGCCCTTTACCTCTTGTAGAAATAGTTGGAAATCCAAACGTTTGCGAGCTTTTAAACTGTTTTGACAGCTCTCTTTGCTTTTTTCCATCACCCCCCTGAGCACTGGAAACTGCGGACCGTACATATGCGTGGAAATGGTCCGACGTGCGCCCCGTTTCCCGTAAGCTGACATGAAAGATATTTCACAACTTGTGAAGTAGTGTTTTGTGAGACGCCAGGGCGCTCAGTCAGATATCATTGTAACACTACCAACTGCCCATAAAGGAACCAAATCCTGTTTTCTTTCAGGACTGTAGTGGACGGGCACGCTGCCAGAAAAAGTCATATTTAATTTAGCCGCAGACTCGGCACTGGCAAAAATGATTCCCACCGGACCACGCAGAGGTGAAGCACACAATACCAGTCAATGGTCAAATCACTGAGGAGGAAAAATCAGTGTTCCTTAAAAAGAAATTCATTCATAACAAAGTGAATCTGGACTTTTCTCTCCTTATTGGACTTAGGAAAAAAAACAAAACATTAAGCTTAGACAAAAAGATGAATTGTTTTTATTATGTGTTATTTTTATATGTCATTCATCTAAATATTATTACTTGGTAAGTATTATACATAATGCAGACATATAATGCAAAATCGACTTTTTATAACTTTTAACCATGTTATTAAATTTAATAAAGTTTTCGCTTCATTTACCCACTCAAAGTTGTATTTAGAGTTTGAGTAGTCTTTATTCTCCTGCTCTGATCTACTACTGTTTTTACTGCCAAAGATAAACTGTCCTGTACTTCATTCTTCAATTTTATTTTCATAAACAGTGGTACATGTAGGATTCTGTAGCATTACTTTGCCATTTTGGCACAAATGAAAAAATCCACTGTTTGCTAGAGTGATCAGCAGCTAACTCTAGAAGGAGTAAACAGCAAGTGGCACTTTTTTGTGACAGCATTTACGGCGACGTACAGTAAAGGGGCAGGTGGGAATCAGCTCCTTGTTTTTTTTATTAAGTAATTTTAGCTCAGTATTACTATTTAAAATGTCCAAAGTATAAAATTATCCTTGAGTATCATACATTATATAACTACATGGCACGCAAATCATAATATAACCTCTTTTGCTGAATTGTGCTATATATCATTCATATATGTGTGACCACCACTAGTGTTAGTAACAACCAGCATTCATTTGTTTATCTGTCTGAGAGGTTGTAGCTTGTCTTTTGATAGATGCTGACTGCTGTTTTGAAGATGCTTAACACAGCCGTATTTAGGTCTAAGTAACTTATCCTGTATCAAACATGTCAACTTAAGGGACAAAGTGTTCATTTCCACCTTGTCAGTATATACTAGGATAATTTTTGATGAAAGTGAATTTTGACTTTTTGCTTCTTGTTTGACTTTGAAAAACAGCGTATGTGGAATGAACAGTTTGTACCAGAATTCTCTGTTTATTTACCCATTCCCATCTGTGTTCTTTATGTGCACCAGGAGAAGTTCTGAGCCTGATGGAGGATCTGTTCTCCGGCCTGGGTTCGGGGTGTGTGGTGGCTGGGCGGAGGGCAGGGGAGCACCCTCACTCACTCCTTTACTCAGTGCTTTTCAAGTGCCTGGAACCGGACAGCCTCTATAAGTGAGTCTAGCTCCTTCCTCTTTCTTGTGTTGTCATTTGAACTAACCTGTAGATGAACTGATCAGGCCTTCTTCAGTGTAAGAATGAACATTAGTCTCCAAGAAGACCTTTACCATATGGGAAAAGCACCTGAATGTTTCCAGATACCATTAGTTGTAAAAGAAAAACAAGATGGCAGTAGAATTATTGGGGGGATTCTGCTTCTCCATTTGTTTAAAATGATAGAACAATAAATAAACCTATGGAAAACTTAAGAAAAGCCAACAGGATCATAAGATGAATTTAGTGTGACCCTATATTTTCTGGGATGTGTCAAATGGCCTTAACCAGAAAATATGACTGAGCATCTAAGGAATTTAAGAAAAAACTTGAGAATAACCCAAAATTTGACAAACCAGAGGGGAATCCATCATTGACCTTTTCTGCTTCACAGGTTTCTAAAAAAGTTGTGCTATTATTTTTAGCATAACAAAAAGACTTCCATAGTAAGATACGAAAAGACTGTAAAAATGACAACAATGGTGATGCTACATACATCATTGCTTCTGCACTGATGTTGTTTTGCTGACTGCCAAAATATTAGCAAATACAAGAAATCCTACATACTAATTTATGTTGTAGATTTTAGAGGCTTTCAAAAAGTTCAATTTGTCTAAGGTTGTCAAATGTTCGACTTCATTCATGAGACTATTCTTTATTCACAGTGACTCACCTTTTGGCCAGGTATTTGAATTATGAATGTTTAAGTTATAAAAGTAATCTCAACATTTGTAAAATTTTGCACGCAGCTCCCTGACATCAAGTTCTGGTTTCTACATCCCCTTAGGCTACCTGTGTTATCATTTCTATCTGTTTGTCTCTAGTTGGTTTATTGGACTCAGCTGAAATTGTATTGTAACCAAGTTGACTTTATCCTTGTCTCTGACCACAATTTTATGAGTACAATGTTTCCCATTATCATATAAAGAGTGTTCATTAAACATTATGTTGTGGCCATGTTTGCATCCTTTTCCAAACAACAATGACTGGGCAGTTACACCACATCCTCCCATGGGTGTCTACAATTCCCACTGAAAATGTTCTTTTGTTTCAGGGGGTGAATTTTGTTACGTTCTCCTGAACAACAGCTGGCTTGAGTTATGAGGCAGCACACAAAGTCTCGACATGGTGGAAGTGGTGGAAGCTGCTGCTTCTGCTCTTGTTTTTTTTTTGTTTGTTTGTTTTGTTTTTAGAAGCTGACATCTAAGTTTCTATATGTGTCTGGTGTATGGTGTCTCTCACTATGGGTTAAGATTCAACATTGTATTATTACCGAAATAGAAAAACAACAAAATTATTTTTAGAGCATCACCAAAGGAGCACGACCCCATCCAATGATCCATATAAATAAGCTGCATGTCTAAACTGGCATTGTGTGGGATATCACATACTGTATAGGCCCCAACTTCTATTAAAATGTATTGTCTCCCACAAGCAGGATTACAAAAATCAAACCTACATTATTTAAAATAATAAAATCTGTTGGTCTAATAATGTCAGAATCAATTTCCTAAAACATCCATCTATTCATTTTCTTCCGCTTATCCGGGGCTGGGTTGCAAGGGCACCAATCTAAACAGGGACTTCCAGACTTCCTTCATCCTGGACACTTCCTCCAGCTCCTGTGGGGGGACCCCAAGGCATTCCCAGGCCAGCCGAGAGACAGTCCCTGCAGCGTGTCCTGGGTCTTCCTCAGGACCTCCCTAGGGAGGTGCCCAGGAGACATCCAGAACAGATGCCTGAGCCACCTCTGCTGGCTCTTCTCGACGTAGAGAAGCAGTGTCTCTACTCTGAGCTCCTCCTGTGTAACTGAGCTCCTTACGCTGTCTCTAAGGGAGCGCCCAGCCACTCTGAGAAGGAAACTCATTTTAACCGGTTGTATCTGTGATCCTGTCCTGGGTTGTAACATAGATTGACAGGTAAATCAAGAACTTTGCCTTCTTCACCACAATGGTCCATTAGAGCATCCACATCACTGCTGTCGCTGCACCGATCCACCTGCCAATCTTACGCTTCATTCACCACTCGTGAACAAGACCTCAAGATACTTGAACTCCTCCACTTGAGGCAGGAACGCCCCTCCCACCTGGAGAGGGCAAGCCAGCTTTTTCCAGTGGAGAATCATGGCCTCGGATTTGGAGGAGCTGGACTTTATCCCAGCCGCTTCATACTCTGCCGCAAACCGCCCCAGTGCAGGTCCTGGTTCGATGGAGCAATTAGGACAACATCATTTGCAAACAGCAAAGATGAGAACCTGTGGTCTACAAACTGAACCCTCTCTGGCTCCTGCCTGTGCCAAGAATTCTGTCCATAAATATGCATATGTCCAATATGCACTGGGAACAGGTCTGACTTACTGCCGGCAATGCGAACACAGCTCCTGCTCCGGTCATAATGTCACCAGACATCCCTTAGCAAAGGTCCCCAGACCCCATACTCCTAGAGCACCCCCCACAGGACACCATGAGGGACACGGTCAAATGCCTTCTCCAAATCCACAAAGCACATGTGGACTGGTTGAGCAAACTCCCATGAACCCTTGAGCATTTGATGGAGGAGGTGGTCCAGTGTTCCACAGCCAGGACAAAAGCTACACTGCTCCTCCTAGATCCGAGGTTTGACTATTGGTTGGATTCTCCTCTCCAGTACCCTGGAATAGACTTTATCTTGGAAGTTGAGGAGTGTTACTCCCAGTACCCTGGAATAGACTTTATCTTGGAAGTTGAGGAGTGTTATTCCCCTGTAGCTGGAAGACACCCTCTGGTCCCCCATCTTAAATAGAGGAACCACCACCCTGATTTTCCAGCTCAGAGGTAATGTCCTCGACAGACCCCCCACAGACCTTACGACAACAGCTACGAGCGGCTGCATCTACAATAGAAGCCGAGAACATAGCTCACCCGGAGGTGTCGCCCTGACAGAGGACTCTGCCAGAAGTTCCCAACAGGCCCTTATGATACGCTTTGGTATGCCAGGTCTTTCCAGCTTCCTCCTCCTCCAGGTGGTGATTGGTTGACAGCTCTGCCCCTCTCTTCACCCGAGTGTCCAAGACACAAGGTCGGAGTTCAGGTGGCACAACAACAAAGTCGATCATAGGGTGCTCTAATGCCACGTGCACTGATGGATAAACACCCTTGAGATTGCACATGATTTATTATGGGCAAACTATGACTAACACAGAAGTCCATTAAGAGAACACCACATGGGTTCAGATCAGGGAGGCCGTTACTCATTCATCGGGTGTCACATGTGGGGGTGCTGAAGTCTCCCAGTAGAACAACGGACTCCCCAATTGTTACACTGATTAGTACCCCTCCCAGGGACTCCAAGAGGGCCAGGTACTATGCACTGTTGTTTGGCCCATAGGCCTGACATATCAGTGAGAGACCTGTTCGGGCATTCAAACCCCTCCACCATGTTAAGGTGGTGGTTGAAGGAGGGGGGAAATTATAAAAAATAGTTTATAAAATGTTCAATTCCAACTTCTTGCAAATGCTTTGCATACTACATTATCTCTATCCAGCTCTAATGACATTTTGTGCTATCACATCAGAAAATGTTTGAAGACCGAGTGGATGTTTAATTTTTTGCTGCTAACATTCAAACATTACTGATGATCCTGACCACTTCCAAAATGTAAAAGTTGTGAGCTCTGGGCAAAATTGCCTATTTACTCCAGAATTTCTTAAACTAAAGGTGACAACAATGCAATATATGTGTCTAGTTACTAGTGTTTCAGACAGCATTACACAGTACCCTGAAGATAACTCCAAACCTGTCAGATTCACTAAGAAATAGCGGGTACAAGCTCCTTATTTTTGACTTTGTAGCCCTGTTATCTTTGTTAGGCATTCTGTACAATGTTGTTTTTGCTGATAAGGGCAGAATTTACGTCGAAATTACGTCTGAGGGCACATCTGTTTGCAGCCAACTTTGCCTTTCTTAATCAGCAGTCTGATAAGAGCTCCACTGGTGTCGACTTAGCACTCCATCATTACAAGGTTGAGGCCTAGTGTTCCCATGTCAGCTAAAGACCGAGGCTACTGTGCTGGAAACAAGGTAATGATAAAACCTCAGATGTGATCTACAAGTGTTTTAGTGGAAAATGCAATCTTGTAACATTGTGTGGTTTTCTCAGCCTGTTTCTTTTTACAAAGCAATGCAGTAAAAAGGCAAAAGTAGGCAAAATTTAATGAATGAGCCTGGTTTAAAGCACCATATAGATTTTTTTTTACTTTTTTTGCGTTCTTTCTGCACACAGAAGTAGTTAGAAGGATGTGCTTACTTACTTTTACTACATGAAAAAATGCAGATGTACAACATGTATGATATTTACAACATATTTCTTTCCAACGCGAGAGACATCTGCTCTCAAATATCCTTGTAACATTTAGAGGAAAATCTATAACTCCTTTTAGAGATTTACAATTTAGTGCTTTGCTCGTTATTTGGCAGAAATCCTTCTTTTTTTTTACTTGCAAGCCCCAATATTTGTTTTGATAACAAACTGACAAAGCATTTGTCTGATTGGTTAATTTGCTTGTCAATCATGCCCATGGGAAAATGTGGAGACAGAACACTGTTCGAGACCATGTCTTTGTAAAGTATTGTACCAGTGTGTGGTCTCGGCTGGCCAGACTAGACAATATACTACCTGACTTGTATTTTTGTATACTTCATAAACCTGAAATACTGACTTCATATTGAAACCCACCTTAGGTTTACATACATGGGAGAAAGATGAAATTGAGCCCCGTCCAGATTACCGAGGAGAGGCAAATACATTCTTAATATATAATATGTAGTCCAAATACTGATTTTTTTTTATTTTTTTTTTACTTTGCCATCGTGTCTACATCTCAGCATCAGGCAGCTGAGTCATCCCTAAATTGTTTTAGTCACAGACTTCATGCTTTGTCCTGATTGCTTGTTTAATTACTTCTATTTCTGACAGTCTCTTCTTAAAATCTGCTTCAGTTGCCAACTTGCTTCTCTTATCAATTCATTCTACTGTATGTAACTTCTTTATATTGTCTTCAGCCTTCAAACATATGTACATTTACATGTGCCATCTCTAATAGATTACACGACTCCATGCTGACCTGTCTCCAATTGTTTAACCTGGTTATGCCCTGCCATATTTCCAGAGCAAAGTCACAGGAAGACAGTGTCCTTGTGTGACTCTCTGATGTATAGACAGTGCGTAGTCTCCATTTTAGTGGAGACTTAATGGAAGGCGGGGGAGGTTTGCTCAATTGGATTATTCAACATTCATTTTTCCAGATATTTCCATTGCCTGATTATTACCAAGTACTTGATATCATATGTCAATCAACTTCTGCCAGATTGCTAAAACATTGTGGACTGTCCTGAAATAGCCTCGCTGGAAATATCTGCTACATAAATTAACAACAAAATGTGCTTTTTTGCTTATTGTGACTGCAGTGTGCTGTGCATCTGCTGGATGAAGTCACTTAAGGGATGGGACAGATGATCTCTGGATTTCAGTATCTTTGGCCTCTTATAGTCAGAAGCTATATCCCACATGGACTAATGTCTCTCCTACATTTTTCTTTTCCCCTGTCGCTTATGTCTAACCAGGGTTAAAGGAGACATATTATGACTAAAACAGCTTTAATTTGTCTTTAACCTTATTATAATAGTGTTCCCTCAATATTTGTGTTGTATTTTGGTTGGTTGATTCATGCATGAGTAATCCTGGTGTTCTGCATTTGAGGCTTGAGTGCTCAGTTCCCGTTTTCACCTACCCCCAATCACATAGCTGTTTTTCAACAATAAAAACACACAAATGACAATCCTTTGGTTGCTGATGAAATACCACTGTGAAGAATAAGTTCTGTAGTTTTAAATAGGAAGTCTGTTGTCCCATTACTATTATTATTAAGCAATAAATATTTGCATAAATATTTTTGGCATAAATCTTGTGGTTTATATTAAATTGTAAAATTATAATCTACTCATGTTATAGTTTATTAAGTACCTGGAAAAAGCATAATGTGTCTTTAATGTAAATGCACTCTCTCACCTGTGTAATAGCTCTGTCATGACCCACAACCAGATTAGTGCAATTGTGTTTATGTTGAGTCTTCCCTGTCATATTGTTTTTGTTTGTTTCTGCTTATTTGTATGCTTTCTGTTGCTCCTGTTTCTGTTGCTGGGATATGAAGACATAGCCTCTGAGCGGGCTGTGATGTGGCCGTTGGATACCAGTCTGATCTCGGGATTTTGATGTCATGTGAATCTTTAAGCTGGAGTTCTATTGCCCACATTACCAGAGATGTGTGTATGTGGCTTTGATGGATTGCTCAAACTCACTTAACTGATGTGTGTGCAAATGCTGATGTCACGGAAACCAGTCCCTAAATGCTGTATCGCCTCGTGCCAAAAATACTGCCCTAATTGATCCTGTCACACTTTGTCTCACTCCACATGGCGGTCTGCAGTCTTTCAACCTGCTGTCTGCTGTTGGACTGCCTCTCTCCTGTCTCATTAAATTACAGGACAATGGTTGCTTTAATGGTAACATTGTCAATTTAAATAAGCATTAATCTGTCATTTGGCCATTTGGGCATTTTGCTGAGTACATAAAATAAAGCATTTCCAGACTGGGATGGAATAGGAATTAGAGGTTTAATACACCTCCTCTTGGCAAAATAAATAGTGTGTGAAGTAATTTTGCAGTATGTTATGCAAATGCTAATCCTGTGTTGGTGAAAGAGATGGTAAAGATGATGGTATTATGTAAAGTGCTGCATCAGCACTAACCATTTCCACCAAATTGGCGTTTCAAAAAAAGACCTTACATTGGAAGCTTTTTTCTTAAGTGAGACACTACTGTATAGAGGAAACTTTTTTTTCTCCAGTTTTCTCTCCTCTCACCATACATGTATTCATGTGGAAACAGCAAAAGTCAAATCTGCACCAAAACATGTTTCAATATCTAATTTAAACTGCAATTTAATTTCAACTTGCACCCATGGATGTATATGGGAGTGTAACTTCAAAAGTTTTTTTTTAAATGGATTGTTTAAACAGATTTGCTGATATCTTCCGTGGGATCCAGAATAGGCACTTCTTCAGTAGCTTACGAAGATGTGAGTCTGGTCACCACTGAATCTCCCCATTTTCAAATGGGCTTGATTGACAGGTGGATTAGTCAATCAGGAACATGCACGGTCCATGTGTATCAGAAATAATGAAAGAAAAATATATCACAGGGAACTGAAAAAACATAGCGGATTTATACAGAATCAGTTAGTCAAGTACTAAACTGTTAATTGTGAGGTGAGATCATTTTGAGTTTATTTGGGAATTATAGGTGACCAATGAGCTCATTCGTTTCACATGTGTCACTGAAAAAAAAATTATCTGATTGCACGATCACTTTGGTCGCACTTGAGATGTGATGAAGGGAGTGGGGGCCAGACTGATATCAGTCTGTATAAACAAATACAGAGAGATATCATTCTCCAGGTTGATACCTATTTCTAAGCCTATGCTAGCCATATTTCAGATTTTTATGTCACAGATATTTTTGTGACATTTTTCTCATACCATGTTTACGTGACCACAATGAAACAATGCTGAACAAAAAGTGATGATAAAAAATATCTGAGGACAAAGGGTAGGAGAAAGGGCCATAGGCACCTGTTGCTGTTGAAGCTACTTCCCAAAACACCAATAAACTTCTTTCCGACCTTTACAAATTGTCCCGATCACCAGCCCACCTCTTTGTATGTGGCCCTATAATTCTGTGTGTGTGCCTGTAGCATGGCTGTGTTGTTTGTTGGGCACAGGGTCCAGCTTGTGTCTCTTTTATGAGGCTGGGGGAATACCACAGCGACGCACAATAACACAGGAACAACTATGTGAGCAATGTCCACTCAGCTTGGGTTACAAACATAACCCCAGCTGCATTCTCAAGAACGTGAAATAAGCAACTGTTTTTTGGACCAAAAAGCCAGTTGAACTCAAAACAAACAAAAATGTTGACATTTGTTGATGCGTATTGTAATAGGAATGTTAGCTGATTTGTACATACTTTTTACTCATGGAGTTCCTGTGGTTGGTTTCTTGTCATTTTGTTGTTTTTTATGGGGTTAAGTGCGGAAATGCTGCTGAAAGCTCAGTTTTTCATATCTGGGAACAAACATTTCTCTGCACTTAATTTACTTAAATCCAGAGGAAAAACAAGGGGCAGAAAAGTTTAAAAAGTTGAAGTTGAGCAATAATGTGTTTTACTGCATCAATAAGTGAGCAATTAACAAGAGAGTTATTCGTCATCTTCCTCCTGTTGTGTTTTAGATGGAGTACACAGACCAGGGCAGCAGTCAGCCTGACCAACCAGAACTGTTGTCTCATTGTAATGGGAGTCTTGTCCTTCAAAACCAGCTGTGTAGTATCAAAAATCTATATAATGAGGCCACCATGAGGCCAATATTTTGGTTTACACTGCACTGGATATGCTGCATCATAAAACCCCTCTCCCTCCGCTGTGATTGGTCCAGCATTAATTCTCCACAGGATATCAGAACTGTATCAAACAATACTAGACTGAGTACTGTGAGGCAGTTGTATAGGCTGGCCAGACTAACTAATTCCTTCTTTCATTAATATGTCCTTTTAGCCCATATTTCAACAGCCCTCTTCTTTTCATGTTAACATGCCATCTCAGACCTCAACTTGCTGTCCAGAATGTCATGAGCTGGATGTCCGGATGTCTGCATCTTTGTTATACTTTTCATCTTCTTTATGGAGCTCAATAGTGACTGACTTTCCAACTTTTAGACTTTCCATACATTTTTTTTTTATCTTGCTTGAGAATTAGTGAATTAGCTATGTGGTAACCAAAAGACCTATAACTTTATTCATTTTAAATGTGTGTTTGTTTGTTTGTTTGTTTGTTTTTTGGGGGGGGGGGGGGATTTTTTGTTTGTTTGTTTATTTGTTTGTTTTGTAAACAACTCCGTTATGGACATTAGTTACCATATTGCCAGTGCCATTCTGTCTTTAAAGTTGTATTACTTAAATTTTTTGTAAAGTCTATGAGGAAAATGAATGGGAAAATTACTTCCGGAACCACAGCGATCTTCAGAGTGGGCTGGACTGTTGAGCTCCATAAAGTCACGCTTCTTGCATTTTCTTTTATATCCAGGAGAATAACCCAGGTTGGCATTTTCAAAAGGACATCAAAAGGGCATTGTTTTTCTATTCTAAACTCCATGACTGCGTATTACTAAAGATGCTTAAAGTACTTTGCCCTCAATTGTTTGCTGTTTCTCCTATTGGTGCTCCTGAAGTTGGACACAGCACCTCCAAAAGGACATTTGACATTTTCAAATAGAGTAGTTTTGCCCTTAGAGGTTACTGGACCTGTGCCCAATACTCCCATGCATGCTGGTACAGAATGCTCTACCTCTCAGTTTGAATTAATCCACCCTCTCCACCACTGTTTTCCTGCCATTTTGTGATGTCATTGTAATGTAGGAAATCAAATATAGTCTGAGTCATTGGGGTCTGGTGCTGTACAGTAAGCAGATGTAACCATTACCCTTTAAAGCAGCCTCGTCATACCTGATGTGATAGATGAAATGATATCAATCAACAGAGAATTTTGTGACAGGATTGAATTTTAATCATGTGGGTTTTTTTCATCACATGTTAAAAGCACTGAGGGAGGAATGGCCCACAGCGAAGTGATTTGTGGGGGTGTTTATTTATTTATAGATTTATTTATTGTGCTGTAATTGAAAACTGATATTATTATTGTTTTTATATTTGTTCACAGGTTCACACTCCATGCAGTGGACAGTCGAGGAAGTCCATCTGAGGCCAGTTTTGTGTCAGTGCGCACGTCGTGTCCAATGGTAGACGACAGGCGAGCTGAAGGTATTTTCAAAACATATTCTTTTTTACTGTTGACAAACAACTATAACCTCATGGTTATATTGCCCTGAAAACTGATTTGTCCCCTGATTTGTAAGAATTGTTATGTTCAGCTGAAGGTACACAAGATAGTGTTTTGTTGTAGTTTAGAAGGTTGTTCATCAAATTATTCGTGTTCTATTAACAATTCTTACTGAATAAACAAACTGGTCTAAGAGGTCATTGTGATATCACTTTCATTGTCTAAAAAAAAACTATATACTGAATTTGAGATTTAAAGGTGCAGTATGTAACATATCAGGTTTGGGGTTTTCCATTTCCTCACCTCCATAGAAAAGATATTGCTTTGCCTGGGATCTTCCACTGCATTGCAATGCACCTTTAAATCTTGAATGGCTTAGCACCAGACTGACCTCTCAGACATCTAAAACAGGTGAAGAAAGTTAGATGGCTATTCATGAAAGAGTGTGGAGATTTCTCATCATGGTTGTTTGTCTGTATGTCCATCAGAGATTGCAGATAAGGTGTATAACTTGTACAATGGTTACACCAGTGGGAAGGAGCAGCAGATGGCTTACAACACTTTAATGGAGGTCTCCCCTCCTCTGCTGTACCGGGTGCAGCACCACTACAACTCCCACTACGAGAAGTTTGGGGACTTTGTGTGGCGCAGTGAGGATGAGCTGGGGCCCAGGTGAGAGACACTGCTTTTCCCTAAATACAAGGCCAGACCATGAAAGCCACTACTGTGGAACAGTTTTTGGTTTAATTAGTTAATCAAGTTTATTTCAACTTACCGTTTTTATTTCTAAACTGTTAATTGCTTATCACTTACTTTGCATTAGAGATATGGGTTTGCCACAGATGCAAGTACAAATATCAGACCAATCTCTCTCTTCCTACAGCTTTTTAAAAAATATCTGACAGTAAGGTTAGCACTAACTACTGACAATTCGTATAAGCAAGTGTCACAAAGTGTATCCACGTAAATACATTTTTTCTAAGCACTACCGCACTAAGTACAAATAACATTCAGATATCTATGATAGGTATGAATTATACTATATTAAACCCTTGTTAGAGGGCATTGCATTTTCCCATCTTGGTTTTTGATATCTTTTCAGCATCAGTGAGCACATTTCTGGTGCACTTTTACAATGTTAAATCTAACATGCACTTGCCAAAAATACAAATACATTTACCCATTGTGGTTTTTAAATAATCCTGGGATCCACCCTGCCAAATGACATGGCAAAGAGACTGATGAGTTTCCAGATCTTAATGTTCTATTCACCAATTATTTTGATTGCTTTGTTGCTATTTATTGTCAGTGTCTTGTTTGACTGTGGTCTAGGTTTGCTAACAACCATGCAGAGGTTTCTTTTGTTATGTAAGTCAAGCTGAGTGCCAGTTTTGGTCAATGTAATCATTTCTGGTGGCACAAGGTCATAGTCTACTCTAACTTCTGGGGGCTCATTACCATGGAGAACGCCAAAACAGTGATCCAGTGCCAAACTAAACAGTAAATTTGATAGTCTGCTAATACTAACAGCACTTCTCAGTCTGTCTTTCCTTGTTCTCTTGTTAATACATCCTGACCCTGTTAATAAGGATTCCTCTTTGTGGACAGGCTTGAGATAAAAGAGGGCTAAAAGGAAGTATAAAAATACCTTAAACACTTTAAACCTCTTAGGATGGACATGGACTACACCGGAACTGACCAAAGGGCACCTTTTGGCGAGTTATGGCACAATGTGAGATTTTATACAACCCCTGTTTTCTTCCTAAAAACACTTTTATAATATCACTGTAGATATTTTTCCACCCACCTGGCAAAAAAGATATGTTTGAACTGTGTGCAGAAATGTGACTTAAATTTTTTCAGACATTTTCATTGAAATACACTTTGGTGACACAGAAATTATGTCTATATAGCAGAGCAAGTTATTTGTAACCAGTATACTGATTGTATATGTATGCATTTTGCTTAATACAAAAGTCTTTAACTTCAAATAACATCCAACTGAACTTTTTACCTTTACATGTTTTCAAATATTCAGAGAAAGTTAAGACACCTCTATTCTTGATCCAATGCTGATTGTAGCTTTGTGTCCCAATATTTTGGTCTGTCCACCCCCCACTGCCTGGAACTGCAGAATCATACAATAATAGTGGAATAAGTTTGTGCGAGATTAGCTTGCCTCTGATTGGTAAAGGGCAGTGGGAGGCGCGGATTGGCTGGTGTGGGACAAACACACTGGACTGGGGTGGTCGGTGCTGGTGTGTTTGTGCTGTTTGTGTGTGGGCAGCTGTGGGTGAGGGAGGGGGGCAGACGGAGGAGGAGGGGGGGCTTTTGGATGAGCGAACACGGGTTATTTACTGCCTCAAGTTGGCAGGGTTTAGCCTCATTGGGGTAATTTACAAGGCAGCTCTATTGGTGGTGCCTTTTAAAAGGTAACAGAATGGCCAAGTGAAACGTAAGCACAGTCCGCAGTCCTGCCAGCTCCAGCGGATCCCTGGAGCCCCCAGACGTCCTCCGCAATTCTTACAAGTCCAACTCTTTTACACCATACTGTTGTTCTGCTAATATTCTACATGGACTGGTTCATCTTCCACTAAATGCCATGATTATATTACATTTTATTATTTCCACACATTGGGTTTTGAGATTCAATAGATGTAGATGCTGTCATATTACTTCATTTTCAGTGGTGAAGTAGAAAGTCTGTTTTAAAATTAGTAAAAATATAAAACTTTACAAAGTGTACATCAAAAAAGTATTTGTATTTGTTGTTACGTGCTTGTTTATTAATTAATTAATTTACTTATTTACCACAATCAACAAACAAAATCATTGTTTCATATTTTTTTGTGGACGTAACGACACGTGTTATTTTTCGGTGTTGTTTCAGACATAAGAATGTAAAGGAAATTAGAAAAGTGTTTCTCCCGTTTGCTGCAAATGAGAGCAGAGGATGTCTGTAGCCCCTGCCTAACTAAAGACAGATGTTGATGCTCTGCAGACACTGCTTCTCAAAACAAATGGAATTCTGCCCCTTCGCTGCGAGTGTGTTTTCCTCATTTAAGCGCCCTGAGCCCGACAACTGGCTGTTTAAAATGTAGTGTTATTCTATGGGTTGCTTTCATGTATGTATGTGTGCAGGAGCCATCTCATGGATACTGACCTGACCTGACATATGGCTTCATTGTGTCATAAACAAAGGCCTTGCAGCCTCAAGACAACATTTTTGTAGTTGTGTTCACTTCAGACGACCGCCTCCGGTGTTTTACACAATCATTACCAGAGCATTCCACATGTGCTGCTTTTGACAATGCACACTGACAGCACGATCAAGATCAGGACAGTTATAAAGTCATCCTGTTATAAATGTGATGTCAGATAAATAAAACAAAACAACAACAGGGAAAAACTGTTAATAGATGTATTCTTTGCAAGCTCTTGGTAAAATACTGGAATCAAACAGAATGTCAGTCAAAAGACATTGAACTATGAACTAAAACTGATTAACCAATGTTACAAAAAATGCAATAATAAGCAGAGTATTGAAGAATATAGCACTATAATAAATGTTTCAGTGAAATGTTGGTAAAAGGAACATGTTTAATTTCCATAATGGTTACTTTTAACAGCAGTTTGTTGCCTCTTTTGAACTTTTTGAGTTGTATTGTTGACGTCAAAATGAGACGGTAAAAAATCAGTTTCCACTCCCTACATAATGTTTATTCTTTGTTGTGGTTAAATGTGGTTTGATGATATTTACAAAGTATTCTCTTTTCATTTTCTCTTTAAACAGTGTGCCAACTTGAGTTTGTTGTTTAGTACCTTTTACAGCTGCAAACAGTAGCGTGCAATCAGGTGGGTGTGGAGCCATATTTGAACTGGTGTTTATGCTAATTAGGTGGTCCACTTTTAGAGTTGAGTTTGCTGGCCCATTTGGTATGGTACTATAGGCGCTTTCTCATTCACCCGAAACACGTCTTATCACAGAGTTCAGCCGAGGGCATTGGGAGGTGTTTGAGCCGTTGTAGTGAGCCACGTCTGGTCCACCCCTCCACATAAAATACCTCTCAGTTTGTGCCTCATTTGTACCATTTTGATTTCTAGTCATAGCACAAAGTTAAGTCATTACTGATAATTTTATGCTAACATCTAGGCACTATGTCATATATCCTAAATGCAATATTTAGTTAAGTGGCTTAAGAGAAAATGTTTTTATGTCTTTTAGATTTTTTCAAAAAGTTTTATGTCTTATTGGCATGTTTTTGAATTATCATTGCAGGGTTGTTTCACTGCAGAAGCCACCATAGTATACTCTCATGTGATCTGATCTTCAATGGTCTGATCACCACGTCAAATAAACTAAGATGGTTCTGGCATATGTTAAAAGGTGCTGTTGAATCTACATTGCATTTAAGGTCATGAACAGACCTGTGCTTGTGCAGTTATTTTTACTTTGTGGTCACTTTAGTGCCCTATTCATAGAAGTTCAATCTGCTCTCAAACATCTTTAGACCTTAACTTGTATTTGCTCCATGTTTGAAGGTTCTAAAATAAAACTATTATTTTAATGTGTTAGTATGGATTTTTTAAAGTGGTTTCTTTTTTCCTTTGTTGTGCTTTGGATTTCTATGCTGTTATTGATTCATCTAAAAATATGGTAATTTAAAATTTCATAGAATGAAAGTCTAGAATCTGCACACTTTTCAAACGGGTTGGAGTTTAGGCTGAACTGGGGAGCTGTGGCAGCAAAAACTGTGTCCCCTCTGATGTTGAACAGTGTCCCTGCTCTTCCAGGATAACCAGATCACACTATCATACACTGATACACTAGGTCAGGGAGCTGATCACAGGTGTGGAGGTGCAGTTTCCCAGAAAAGGCATAACAAATGCATAAGCTGTTCTTTCGGTGTCATTAAAGGGTAGACTTTCTCACCTTAGATGCTTTCGACCCATGTCTGACTGAAACATTGAACACAGGATTGTGTTTGGCTATTTTTCACTCTTCTAAATGTGACTCTCGGCCTGTGTCCACAGGAAAGCCAGCCTGATCCTGCGGCGTGTGGAGCACATCAGTCACTACTGCCGCTCACTCTTGTGCAGCTCACACATCCAGAGCCGCACTGACACTGTGGCCTATATGTTCTGTCACGCGGAGGACAGAGGGCAGGCCAGCAGCACACACCACACCTCTTTACACGACAGCCGCCTGTCCTGCATGGAAAAGCTCATCTCTGTGCAGAGGAACACATACAGCAGCACCAAACTGCGGTGAGACAACAAGCACCTCTCCTGTCACTGGTGCGTTCAAACATCAGGAGGAGAGCCCAAACACCTCACAGTCACTGGGCATTGTTCAAAGCCACAGAACTGATTTTGAGCAACATATTTGGTAAATGCAGAATGCCAGTGATAGCACATATCAATAAAAGACTGCAGTGTAAATTATCATACAGCCTAGAGGGCTGGCTTCAATACTTTGAATGTATATGGTAGTTATTTTGGTGCTTTAAAGCTTAATGAGGAAGATTTAAAAAGGAAATGTTTAGCATAACTTATTTGCCTTTAATTTTCTTTAAGAATCAAATATAGGGGGTCGCAAGCCATTTGAAATCCCATTCACATTGAAGTCTTTGTAATCCTAAAATCATTAGAGGTGTCAACAGCTACAGGTTTGATTAAATCAGCCTGTTATGTTTATGCAAACAGAGACCGTGTCAGGCCATTTTTGTGCTCACCCTTTGCTCCAACCTTTTACATTGTACACCATTTTAGATTTGAACAAAGTAATGTACGACGGTCAGCTCAGTGTGTGGACCTTCACCATGATTAACTTACAATGCAGACTCCACTCTGAAACACTGACACTGTCTGGGACATGTGGACAATATTGTATTTATTTATTTATTTATTTATTTATTTGTATTACTTTTTGATTTATTTAATTATACTGAAAGGTGACTACAAGATTTGTTTAAGTCTGTTGCATCAAGAAACTTGTTTGAATATAACTGACATGATGTGTGAATGTGATTATATAAATCAGATTGCACTTTGTCCATGTAATCCAACATTTTGGATAAGCAGTTATTAATGGTTATATCCTCTAAAGCTCCTCACACAAAGGCAGTTCTTTGAAATGGGATATTTTTTGTCCCCAGGAAAAAAATAATCTTGGTCTTTCCAAACACTTAGTGTTCTCTGTCTTTCATAACATTTAAGCCATGGATATTATTTCAAAGAAGAATTAATAATGCCTTTAAATATTTCCTTAAATGATTTGGACTGTAAAGAAAATATCTGTATTATTATATGTGGCTTTGATTGTCTTTTATGACAAATGTGAAATATTAAAAGTGTATAAAAACTGTTTTCTTTCTTGGATATAAAGATATAAGGATATATATATATATATATATATATATATATATATATATATATATATATATATATATATATATATATATATATATATATATATATATATATATATATATATATATATATATATAAACATTGTCTACATTTTTATTACAACAGATGGTCACCTTTTATTCATTATTTTTTTATGAGAGATATAAATTCTCCCATAAAAATTACTCAGGTAAAATAGTTTCCTCTTCTCGTACTTTAACACTTTCTGCAAATATTTTCAGAAGCTAGTGGTCCATTTCTGTTTTGGTTTCCCTTCCTAGATCATAAAGGGGGGTGCTGGACTTTTGAAGTAGGGGGTATGGGTATGCATTACCTGTATTACGTGCAGGTCAGTGTGTGCGCAGTCTGGGGAACAGGAAACCCGCCCGACCGCTGCTCCAGGCTCACTATTTTTATGACATGAAATGTATTTCAACACCATATAAACATTTAGATGACCATACAATGTAACCTCCGCATGTCCTCAGCACTTTGGCATTTGGAAGTTGGTCCTAATTTAGCGTGCCAATAAAACAAAGCTGAATTTAAAAGTTAAAGCTTAAAAACATACAATAGCCTTCATATTTGCTGTATAGCTGGAGTCTGTGGGTCTTAAGGGTCCACAGAAGGTCACAATGTTAAAATACAACTGTTCAGTCTCAGATTAAAGTTACAGTCACTTTTTGGAGGCCACCTGCAAAATTCCATAGAAATAGAAAGTTAAAACCATATTTTGGAATGCTCTCCATGGACATTTTATGTCACACTGTGGAAGGTTATAACAATAGGAACAGCATTAGCATTCCCATAGAAACAACCTAAAGGAGACTCTCTTTCAGGCCACATAATTGATATAAATATTCAGGCCAGATTTGAGGCGATGTGTGCCCACTCAGAGAATACATGTTTTTCAGTGCAACACAACCAAAACGAAAAAAGGTTTAGAGTAAAAAGTGCCTAAAAAGTTGCATACTGTGGCTTTAATGTATTAGTTAGATTCAGATTAATTTTAGGCAAGGCAAGCTTATTTGTACATGATTCGTACACAAAGAAATTCAAAGTGCGTTACAGAATAAGAAATACATTAAGATCACAATACAGATCAGAAAATAAATAATCATACAATTAACATTGAAAGAGAGGAGTGCGGAATAAAAACTTTCAGTCATATGCACAGCTAAACAGAACCGTTTTGAACCTGGATTTAAACATAGTCTAAGTAGAGACCGGCCTCACATATTCAGGAAGACTGTTACTGTTCTCACATTTAAACAATCTAAACACAGGCACCATCAATAGGTGAGTAAATATATAATATACTATACGAACTTGAGTGTGAAAATAATAAAATAAGAATGGAAAAGTCTTCTTCAGGTACTCTTACCTCCTAATGGAAATAGATGAAGGGAAATTAATAAATAAAATGACATGAGCCAGAGAGCCAGTCATTTGAACTAATTGCCATCTGACTGAAATGCATGTTTTGATTTTTCTTGATAAGAAGTTGGATGTGATGTGAATTGCTTTTGATCATCCTGTATGGACACAGACTGCACTGGAGACCAGTTTCATTCATGATAAACCACGAAATTGAACTTGCACATTATCAAAACGTTTGGATCAAGATCTGTTAACATGAAAGCAATACAATTTGAATATGTCTCAGATAGGAATAATTGATTTTTGAATTTAATTTTGATTCTTGTTCTTACGCAATCGGGTGAAAATATTTACATAGAGGTGTAAGGAGGGGAAATCAGTCACTAAGCTAACAGACACCTATCCCATATGAATTACACTAATTTCTATCATTAAGTGAAGGTGGGTAAGCCTCTGCATGTGAGCTGCTGGGAAGTATTTTCTTTTTCCGTCTCCTTCAACAAACTATTCCTTTAAGCTCAGATCCAGTTTCTTTCCAGTCATGCAACATTAACTGCACTTTAAAAATCAGTAGCTTGATGTTCATTCTCACAAATTAGGCCATTAACGTCATTGGTGTGCCAGGAACAGAACCCGCCTTTTCATGCCAAGGTATCAGGGATGGCTTTAAGAATGAGTTCATCTTTTATGAGTTCCTCGGCACTTTGGGGGTTTTGGAAAAGCAGTCATTAGAGACAAGAGTTAAAAATTAGGCATATCCAAAGTATAGTCAATTAAGAGACAGGCTGTGATTTCAGTCCTCAGCTGGCAACATAAAAAGTCTAGTTAACTTTGTTTCTTTCCATGTTTGGATATTTCATTGGTTTATCCAGTTTGTCTTATCTTGCTCATTATGGTGGAGCCTACCACAGTGACTACCAACCTAACGTATGCTAGATCTGTGACAGCTGTTGCAGGATAAATACCAAACACACACACATATTCACATATTTATTTATTTATTTAACCTGGAAAGTCCCACTGAGATCTAGAAACTCATTTTCAGGGGGTCCTGGCCCCAGAGGGGAGTCTATTGTACATGTTTTAGTAGTAGAGGAAACTGGAACAACTGGGGGAAACCTACGCAGATGCAAAGAGAACAATGAAAGGTCTCACACCGCCAGGTAGTCAAACCCAGGACCTTCTTGCTGTGATGAAGCAGCATGCTGCCCAATTCACTGTGGATTATTTAGAGTCACATTTGTCCTTGGAAAATGGGAGGGGAAGGCTGGCAGAATTACTGAAAACACTGAAAAATCCATGACTTCTTGCTGATAGGCGGGAGTGCTAAACACTGTCACTGTGACTTAAAATGTGTAATAAAAACCAAAACACATTGGACACTTTTAACCAGTGTTTTATTTCTACACAATAAATGACAGCAAAATGAACAATGAGACTCCTCTCATGACTTCCTTATGAAAATATAGAACACATCAAACATCATTATGCCATGTACCAGAGCACCAAAATATATATACTTGCAAAGTATGACCGGAACACGTTATTGAATATGTGCCTGAAAAAGTGCATTCTGTTGAAGAAATAAACAATGAAATCACCAGGGTTTAGTGGAATGATTAGGTCTACAAATTGAACTTCTGAATGCATTAGTCTCATTTGTAAAATTGATTCTATAAGAAGAATAGTGATCTGACTTTTCTTTACAACAAATAAATAATCTATGAGTCAGTGAGTGAATAGATGGTTTTGACATGTGACGACAGTGTGTGCACTAAGCAGTTCTGAGGAAAGATGTGCTGACAAGTGGTGTGATGGAGCATCACAGGTATATTTTCTATATATTATATACGATATCTTTTTCCAGCTTGAAGGTGATACTTTGACACTATGCACAAGAAGATATTCACGGTTCATCTCTTTGAATAATAGTTATGATAAAAATCAATACAAGAGCTACTCCCATTACAGTTAGTACATGGTTTGCAAATACAATCATTTTATCATATTATTTACATCGTAAAATATATTTGTTGAGCAACTGGGTACGAAACGTTGCAATATTACGACTAGATATTCACATATGTAAATACACTTTTCTGTATTTCCCATTTATTAAAAAAGGGTACTTTTCCTTTTTATTTTGACATGGACCATTCTGTTACCAGAGGCCTGTGAGAGGTACTTGATGTGTTCAACACACATACACAAGATGGCACATTAGTATTTTCTCCACAAAACAATAGCACTTCAAACACTCTCAAGACAGATGCCACTAAATCTTGCCTATTTTGGGTGAGTGAAAAGACATTACAAGCCAGGCACAAATAAGTGTACACTTTGTGCTAGCTGCATGTTTGGATAAATAGAGAGGCTAGTGTCAAGAAGGTGGATTGGTGGTGCAAAGGTTGACTTTCATGGGAGCCAGGTGAAGCAGATGAGGAGAGGTAGGCCTGGGTGTTGGTGGGATGTCCCACAGAGAGACAGAGAAGGGAGGTGAGGGAAGGTGCCACCCCGAGAGAGAAAGTCTGACTCATTGTGTTGGGCAAAGTGCCAGTGGCCACCACCAGGCCCAAGGCAGCCTGTGAGTACACAGTTTAACACCTGGACAAACACACATCCAGGCCAGGAAAAGCAGTCCAGCCGTGACCTCTGCTCGTACCTCACCTCTCCTCTGTGCCCTCTGCTATCCCAGGGCACACCTCCGCTCTATGCCTACACCTTACCATCCATATGAGCCCTCTCTTCTGCACCTTAGAGGTGTAAAATATCAGAAATTATCAGACTTGAACTTTAACTTTTATGCATGGTGTGCACTTGAACAAATATTGTAATAAAGACAAACATTACATTCTGCTTTAAGAACAAAAAGATACAAAGCATTCAATAACACAGATAAATCTTCACTGCCCATCTACTTTTAAGGTCATTTTTGATTTTTTGTGCCTCTTGTTGTCCACTCAATAATCCACTGCACGGACAAAACGAGTTCAACTCAACGAATAATTGTTTTGTTTATATGAACAAAGTAAAATAACTTACATGGACTTTTAAATATAACTTAAAAAGTATAACACTCTCAATAAATAATTCTAGTATTTACACCATTGTTATGAGAAGCAAAAATATAGAAGCAGCAAACATTACAGGCATGAGGTACAGCAAGGAGTCCTGTGATGCCTACAGTAGAGACATGACATCCTCATCCAACGCACGATTCTTCAAATTCCTTCCAGTAAAGTTCTGAACAAGTTATGGCAAATGTGTGATTTCTCTCAAAAGTGATAGTCCTTCTCACTTGTAGAGATTGGGGGTTTGGTATGTTCAAACAAAGAAAGGTCCAATGCCAGCTTGAACAACAAAAGAATATTTATAAGGCTGGAATGGCTTCCCAGTATGTGAAAAGCAGATGAGGAACCACAGTACTGCATGTCATTGGTATAGTGAAGTCAGTCCCACTCTACTGGTAAGAGGTCAATATAAAGCAGCTATATCTGGAGTAATAATAATTACATAGAGTTGTAATATATCAACATAAGTATTTTTTTTACCATGAATATAGGATATTTTATACAAAGAGTTTAAACAATCTCAGATGAAGATGCATCTCATAAAAACTGTGAGTTTCTTCATATAAGTATTTCATTCCAAGTTCTCCCATTTTGTTTTGTTTTTTGTGTGTTTTTTTTTTTTCCAAAATATACACCTTCAATCTCTGGTGATCTCACATACATCAGACAAAACAAAGGACAAACAATTGCAATCTCAGTTGTATCACAACATATATACAATAAAGATTTAGGGATATGATATGGACAACGACAGTTCACCCTCCCATTTCTGCTGATGATTTCATCTATACAACACGTATAAAGCACTACTCAAGGCTACTAGAAGAACAAGAAGAATCACCAAATATATAGTTGGCTTTGATGATGGTTATGACAATAGCAGCTTCTAAACCATCTGACATATACATAATTCTCTTCTTCTTACATGGCAACAAAAAGTGCAGTAACTGAGGTCAATAATACAAACACTGATTAAATATTCAGTAAAAAAAATAAAAACAAGAAAGAAATTAAAATCAAAGTAATACATGCCTTTCCATTCACAAAAGAGTTATATTATATTATACTATTTTGGATTTATGGTTTGGTACTTCACTAATTATATTGACTCCTTCGGAACTCAAGAAATTGGCAGCTTTTCTACCAAAAGACTTAAGTATCTTAACAAGTGCCTTTGGCCACCATTATGGTTGTGTAAAGAGGAAATAGCAGCAAAATATGGTTTAATACACCTAGAACCCTTCAACACACCATTCTGTGGACAAACATAGATTGGACAGATGAGAAAGATTTGAATTGTTTGGCTATTTTATCTAATGCAATAACATAGGTAAAGCATAAACAATGCTACACTATTACTTAGCAACAAGCAAAATATATTCTTGGATTAAAATAACATTTAGATACTAAATCTGTGTTATATGCAAATTGTACAAATTAAACTACAAAAATATCTTTGTAGTTTGCTAGATCAAAATGATATTTAATTTTGAACCAACAAACTACTATTATGCAACTACTGCCATACT